CATGCCTGCAGTCATCACATCATCAAATCTAGCTTTTAAGTCCTGTTTTAAACTCATCACCAAACAAATGATGGAACAAAGAAGGTTCTTCTTATATTATGACATGAATATACTGGATTATTTCAGACAATCTTCTTAAAAAATAATAAAGACAGCAATATTGTGTTGAATTTGAACTTATCTTAACTTTTCACAATTTTATGTTGACACTTTTCAGAGAGTATTTTTGAATTTGAACTCTGATTCATCGATTAGTCTGGGGTTTTCAAAATACATCACGCAGGATCAACAAAATACTGTAAATCAGTTCTGAGAAAGACAGAATGGCGGAGGTAATAAAAAAATTCAATAATCAAGAAAAATTTCAAATATTACCGGACCTTTGCAGGCAAGTGGGATGTTTGTGCGAATACCCCAAACCAACCTGGTTATGGGCCAGCATGTGCACCACTTGGTTGTGGAAATTTTAGAAGTAGGACTCGCCATGCTGGTTTCATACCGTGGCTATGGCTCCATCATGTCCATGCTGAGCTGGCACTATTCCAATAAATTAATGGAAGGCTCTTACAAAGCACGCTGCAGCAGTTAATGAATATCATGCCATTCTCAATCATCGGTTATTAACCTTTGGAACTCTAAGCAAGTAGCAGTTGTTTTCATTCTAATCAGGAAAGCTTGACCTGGAAGAAGGAAGTGTGGATGTGGTCAAGGTTCATGTTAGGGTTGCGCGGTACATGCGGTAGACGGTAGAAACTGTATGAAATTGGCCTACGGTAGGAATTTACGCTCTACCGTCATTACGCCATCGCACCTGTGTCAACAGGGCTGTGAGTGCAGAGACAACTGAGCAGAGGAGTTCGAAATATAATGAAGAAATTATAGCATTTTAAAACACGTATAGAGAGGATAAATCCTCAAAATATCCTCCTCCCGATGTATACCGTTACCGTGAAGGGATTCAGTTTACATACTGCAATGCTTACAAATTGATCAAATGTCTCTCCATCTTCATCTTCTTCTGCTGTTTATCTGTAGTCGAGTCGCAGAGCCACTATAGTCCCGGAGAGAAACCCAGACACCCCTCTTCTGAGCAACACTTTCCAGCTCGTCCTGGGTCTTCCCCTGGGTTTCCACAAGTGGGATGTGCCTAGGCATCAATGAGGCATCCTAATCAGATGCCCCTAACTCTTTTCAATGCAGAGGAGAGCGGCTCTACTCCAAGCTCCATACCTCATCTCTAAAGCTCAGCCTGGCCACCCTAAGAAGGAAGCTCATTTCACCCGCTTGTATTAGGGATCTTATTCTTTAAGTCATGATCCACACCATCGTGAGCTTTGCGTTTCGACTCAGCTCTTTCTTCAACACAACTGACCGAAGCAACGCCCTCATTACTGAGGACGAGGCCCCAATCCGTCGATCCATCTTGTGCTCCATTCTATCTTCACTCGTGATCAAGACACCCAGAGACTTAAACTCCTCCACCTAAGGCAGAGACTCTTCCCCCAACCCAGAGGGGCATTCTACCCTTTTCTAGTTGAGAACCATGGCCTCAGACTGGAACTGACCCTGATCAAAGCTGGTTTACACTCAGGTGCGAACCACACCAGTGCACGGCGAAGGTCTTGGCTCGAAGATGGTCTTGTATGACTAACATGGGGTCTGGTAGGTACAGATATCCAGCAGGAAGAGAGGAGTCATAAATCAGGCGAGGGTCAATACCATAAAATCTGAGTCCAAAAGAGAAACCAGACAGGGGCAGGCAAAGAGCAGAGGTCCAGAAAGCAAAAACAGGGTCATGATCACAAAGGCTTGACGTGGCTTGGCTTGAAGAATACTGGATTTCTCTGTCATGAAGCTTCGGAGAGTCTGGCGCTATTGTAGTGTCTGGAGGGAGATTAAATACTGCAGAGCACAGGTGGAGAAAACTAGATAGGCACAGGTGAGCGTGGTTAAGTGATCACTCACAGGAAATGCAGTTGTATGGAAGCCCAAGTGTAACATGAAAAAACTAGAAGCACTCGGAAAGTGCAAACCTCCGCCAAGACCAATTTCCCCCATCCTGTAGGAGTTAATGCGCAAAAGCAGAGATGGAAACACATTTGCCAAATAAGTTCTGATATGTAGTGAACATTTAAGCAGGCAATATGAATGAAATGTCTTCCCGGTGGAGTCCAATGTGAAAAAAACAAGTCAGACTTGTTTCTCGACATTATTCATGGTCAAACTGGTGTGGGATTAAGCTCCTAAGTTTTCATCAGTCACATTTCACCATGTAAAACGTCTGTTTTATCCCCTTGTATGAGTTTGTAATGGTTTGACTCTCTTTATAAAGTGCTTCCTGRCTCCCCCCGTCTCCAAACTTTGAGGCCCGGCAGCTCCCTGTTTACAAGCCTAGTAGAGACAAACTGTTTTGATTGGTTGTTTTGGAAATGTGATGTGTTTGAGGAAATGGGAAAAATAGGTTTCATGGTGCAGTCACACACTTCCTGGTCATAAAACTTTCTGTAAATGCGCACATTATGGAAAAAAATATTCATCATTAAATCTGGTTTTAACATTACTTTTATAAAGTTTGAAGTCCGTGCTGTCCAATCCAGCTCACTGTTTTTTACAGAAGCCCTGTGAAAGCATCACAGCTTTGCCGATCTCAGAGTGTTAAAAGAAAAAAAATTCCTGTATCTGCATCATGATCTGGAACATCACCAAAATTTAATGGTCTGTTCCTTGGCCCAGTACCCACATGTGTTGAAAATGTCATGACAATTCGTCCACAAGTTTTTGAATAATGTTGTCCACAGTCAGAACGACAGAACGACAGGCAGACAGACATACATGACCAAAAACATTACCTCTCCCTTGGCGGAGATAATAATTAGAACCCATGACAAACTTAGCGACTTTGTCTGCAAGCAACAAATCCAGCAACTTTTCCTGATGTTACTGGAGACTTTTAGAAACTTTTTACGATTGTGCTTTCTGGGCACTTTCCTCAGTGAGTGATGCAGTAAGCCCCTCCCCCTTTCCAAAGCATGGACAAGCGATTAGACTCACTGAAGTCTCGTGCACCGAAGCCCCTGGCTGCATTTAAGAATTGAGAGGAGACCACTTTAAATGAATCATGCAAAACTGCTGCTGCTTGCTACCTGGATTACAAAGCCAGATGTAATTTTCACTGTAAGGTTGTTCTCTGTCACTGACGCACTGAAATAAATCCTTGGACCCGTCTGCATTTGATTCACAGCTTCAGTCACTTCTTCACCTCGTCCTCTGTGTGTGCCTCTGTGTCATCTAAGTCCTTTGGTTAAATTTATATCCTCACAAAATGAATTTATGTAATGTAGATCTAAGCATCATAGTCGTAAAATAATTTATTTGAGCTTGTTTTCAGTTCTAATCGTATTCACAATGCTTTTACTTACTTTTTTGTCTTTACAGTCTCTCCTACAGCCCAGATAACAATTACTGGCAAATGTCCAAAAATGCAAACTAGAAGATGACATCATCTAGCAGCTTTTAGTCCAGCCAATAGCAACTTTTCCGGTAACGCTTTCTTTTACGGTACCCTTATTACCATGTAATTACAAGGTAATAAAAATGTGATTAAATGTAATTACTACCTTATTGCCATGTAATTATGTTGTAATTAGGGTACAAAAGGAAAACTACTGTTTGCAAAACTACCTTTATTGGGAAACTACAATCAAATTACCATTCAATAGTAACTCATCACTATATTTATAACCATAAGAATGCAACTAAATTTTGGGGTTAGTGGTTAATTGCAATAAAATATAACTTTAAAACTGTCCAAATTACCTACTACTTATTTAGGTGTTACATAGTGAAATGTAATACATTACCAGGTAAGTGCTACATTACTGCAGACAATTAATTACATAGTAAAACTGTACCCTAATTACCACATGATTACATGGTGATAAGGTAGTAATTACAATTAATTGCCATTTTTATTACCTTGTAATTACATGCTAATAAGGGTACCGTAAAAGAAAGCTTTTCCTACCGAACAACAACAACAGCGGTATATGTAAAAGTTTAGGAACATAGTGTGTTTGTTTTTGCCAAGGTTATTTACCTGTGGCAGCTATTGAATTTAATTTACACTAAACATTAATCAGTTGTAGACGTTACATCCAAATGTTTTGCAAAAATCTGTCCAGTGGTGGAGTTTTTTTTGCTAATAGATGGACAAACAACAGACACACACACACACACACACACACACACACACACACACACACACACACACACAC